AAACAAGGCTCATCAATGGCATTCATAGGCCCAGAACCCTTCTGTAACATTGCGAATGACCTCATGACCTCACCAGTGCAGAGACAGGCGAAAAAGTTCATAATAAAATATTCGCCAAAATTCACAGCAGACCTGACAAACAAAGACAGAAAATCAGTCAATAATGTAGTGGGTCTAGTAACAGGGATTGTAAGTGGATTGACGGACGAAGCCATGTGCAGGTTCTGTTTAGACAATGTTTTTTACACATTTAACACATTTTATGTTGGCAAATGTGCGGTTCTCGGTAATAGATAATGATAGAGCATTGAGACAGAGAGCTACATGGAGCTACATGAATCTCCAAATTGCTAGACTTTTTGAAAATGATAGGACTGGAGACTGTAACCTATGGATCAGAAGAGGACCACAATAGTTCTGAAAAGGTCAATCAATGTGGATCAGGTTCATCGATAAACCACCAAGTCGAAGTCTCTCTCTATTAATATTAATTTTAAAAAGATTTCTAGTAAGTATGAAACAGTAACGACGAGTTTGAATATGATTTAATAATATTATTTGATCAAAAATTTTTTTTGTTACGATTCTATCGGTTGTACCTTATGTCATGTGGCCGGAATATTTCCATTCAAGGCTCTATGTTCATTACTCTGCGGACTATGTCCACCGTACCCAAAATAGCTGCTCTAATACATTGACTTATGATATTTTCTGGTAGTTTCAGCCCCTTTAAGTTCTTCTCAAAATAAATGTGAACCAAGCAATTGTTTGAAATGATGAGTGGTATTACTCGGGGTATTTTTAGATTATAGGTGTGTCTCATATCGAAAGCCAAGTACTTGATACTTCGAAATTTTTTACCTTGCAGTTTTGACTACGTTGTGATCTAGTGGTACAGCTACGTCGATTAAGTAGGTCTTCTTTTCGTTTTATCTATCATACAATGTCCGCCTTATTATGAACTACTGATCTGTCTGTCCTGATCTTGCCTTTTCTCAAAGTTCCCTCAGCTGTTCCTAAACCGATGGAACTTCCGTTGGAATATGGGAAGCAAGGTTCAAGGAAGAGTAGCCTCGGTCAATCTCGCATATTGCTCGATGAACGAAAGTATCGCTTTACATAAAATATGTTACTAGTTTGTTATTTTGTCTGTTGTATGCTCTTTCAACATTGATAAGTCCTCTCCCTCCATGGATCCTGGGGAGTTAAAACCTGATTTCTGAAGACGACTAATGGTGTAATCTGAACTATGATAGTGTTCTCCTAGTAGCTCTGTCTATTTCCTGCAGCTCTGTTCAAGACTCCGTATGTCTGCGTCAAGACAGGAATTGCCCATCCAGTGACTGCTGCAATCTTCTGTCTGCCCGGTACGTATGTTTTACCGATATATTTTTTTTCACGATTCTATCGATTGTACCTTATGACGTGTCGCCGGAAAATTTCCATTCAAGGCTACATGTTCATGACTCTGCGGACTATGTTCACCGTACTCAAAATATCTGCTTTAATACATTGACTTATAATATTTTCTGATAGCTTCAGCTCCTTTAAGTTCTTCTCAAATCAATGTGAACCAGTGAGTATTACTCGGGTTGCTTTTCGATGATAGGTTTGCCTCATATCGCAAGCCAAGTCTTGATACTTTCTTGATACTTTCTTCTTGATACGTCTTTGACTACGTTGTGATTTAGTGGCACAGCTACGTCGATTAAGTAGGCTTTCTTTTCGTTTTTATCTATCCAAACAATGTCCGGCTTATTATGAATTACCTACTGAACTGTCTATCTGTATTTGCGTATTCCGGTACATTATATAATGTTCGTTTTCCTCTAATTCTTGTAGCCTGTATTCATAATATTTTTTTTCAGGGTTCTTGATTTTTAGGTACTTTAGCATTTCCAGGTGAATAATCTTTGCTATGTTGTCGTGTCTTTCCGTGTAGTGGACTGACTGAGCTCTGACAAACTCTACATTTGTCAGTTGGTATGTTTTGTTTTAAAATATACCTCCTATACGCTCTAGTGCTAACCACTTGATCTTGTATTGCACATATGAAGCCCTAGGTTTCTCCCATGAGGTTAATGTTTGTAAGGAATTGTATAGATCCACTTTTATCAATTCCTTCTGCCCGGCTTTCGTTGGCATACCTTCCATGCAGAGCCTTTCCTTGAAGTCCCCTCAGCTGTTCCTGAACCTATGGAACTTCCGTTGGGATATGTGAAGCCAGGTTCAAGGAAGAGTAGCCTCGGTCAATCTCGCATATTGCTCGATGAAGGTAAGTATCCCTTTGCAAAAATAGGTTGCTTGTTTATTATTTTGTCTGTTGCATGCTCTTTCAACATTGATAAATCCTCTCCCTCCATGGATCCTGATTTCTGAAGAAGACTGATGGTGCAATTGAATTGTGATGGTGTTCTCCTAGTAGCTCTGTTTATTTTCTGCAGCTCTGTTTTGGACCATTTCAAGACTCCGTATGTGTGCGCCAGGACAGGAATTACCCATCTATTGACTGCTGCAATCTTCTGTCTGCCGGGTGAGTATGTTTTACAAACTGTTTTCACTCTCTTTAGGTAAGTATTTTTTATTCTGGTCTTCATTTCCTTATCCTTGATCTGCCCCGTTTGTAACATTCCAAGATATTTGTATGCAGATGTTTTGGCTCCATATGGATTGATTTGCTGAAACGGGATACCAATTCCAACAGACTTTGAAGCTGCTCGGGGTTATTTGCATATACCTTAAGTTCGTCCATGTACATAAGATGATTTAGTACTACTTTGTTTCGCTTGGTGATCTTATAGCCTAGGTTACTGTTTGAAAGTATTTTATTCAAGGGGTTTAATGCCAAACAAAACCAGACCGGACTCAGGCTGTCGCCCTGGAATATACCTCGGTTCATCTTTATGGTTCTCGTTTCTTATGTTTGTTCTGGTCCAGCCACAATTAGTTTTGTATTCCATAGTGTCATTGCATGACTGAGAAACTCTGTAATTTTTGGATTAATCTTATAAATTTCCAAAACCTTTTTAAACCAAGAATGAGGAACAGAGTCATATGCTTTCTTATAGTCGATCCAAGTAGCTGACATATGCCTCTGTTTATCTTGGACCTGCCGTCCTACAACATTGTCTATCACCAGAAGTTCTTAACAGCCTTTTGATCCTCGACGGCGTCCATTCTGTTCGATAGCTATTATGTTATTTTTACCAATACGTTATTAAAAAAGAAATAGCTATTATGTTATTTTACCGTAGCTATTTTGTTATTATACCGATAATATTTTTTTTTCTCAGCTTATAGCCGGTTTTAGCGACTAGTCGGGATAATTCTTATCAACGACCTAATCGCGGTTCAACACAGTGCGAACGATAGAACAGGTAGAAAGAATTGTGGACTTCTGCATGGTAGAGATAATTCTTTCCGGGTTGTGAAGTTGGAGTTTTTTAAGGCTTTGAACAAGGTTTACGTCTACTAGGCCGTTACAGGTAAGTATTATTGGTAATATAAAAGTCTTGCTCAAATGGTATATAGCTTTTAGTTCTTGCGCCAGTGCCAGTGCTTCATATTTTGTGATTTTCTCTTTTCTTGCATTTTTAATATTTTCGTCTAGTAGTATTGTGATATCCAGCAGGTAAGCATGTTTTTGTTTTTTTTTATAGAAGACTACTATATCAGGTCTATAATGCTGCACAGTACGATCTGTGATAATGTCAGTATTCCAGTATACTTTTAAGTTAAGTTGGATGGATATCTTCCGTGCAAGGCTTTCCCTTTCCACTCTTCGGTTAGTTCCTCAGCACCCCTAGTACCTGCAGGTAATCTTTGATCTGCTAAGTTTAAAGGAGATGGTCATTTGATTGGTCAAAGTAATGCTGCAGACTTCTGATGTGCTTTTCATGCATAGCAATGAGACTGATAATTCCTCTTCAACCTTTGTCCCTTGGCATGTAGAGTCTAATGGTTGAAGCATGGGGGTGGTGCATTCGGTGCCTTGTCATTGATGTCCTGACTTTCCTGTCTCTCTAAATTTGCTAGTCTCTACTCCAAGTCGGTTTGTGACCATTTTAGAACTCCGAATGTATTAAGAATTACAGGTGCTGCCCACACATTGATAGCAGCTATTTTATTCTTCGCATGAAGCCCTGTTCCCAAGACTTTACAAACCCTCTTCATAAATGCATCCTCCGCAGTCTTCTATATTACTCCATCATCAATTTTTAGAGCTTGATGGATATCAAGATATTTGTAGGTTTCACCCAGATGTAACGGCGAGAATGTTATTTCGTTAGTTAAAATAATCTCGTTAAATTTTTGGATTTTCCCTTTTTTACAGTGACTACTGCAAGAATGCACATTTTTCCATACCGAATGCTATATGAACAGCTTGGCTAAAGGATGCTACAAGTTCCATTTGCCCTTTAAGTTGTTCTGGGTTGCTCGTGTAACATTTTAAATCATCCATGTAAAGCAAGTGAGAAATCTTTACTTGGGGATTGTTCTTCACAGCCTAGCCGTATTTCCTAGACTTAAGCATGAAACTTAGTGGGTTTATATAGCGCTATATAATTTTATTATTGCAGTTTTATTTTGTTTGACTTAAATGTGGTATCAATATTCAACATATTGTTTTGATTTATTTTTGGCTTTTGATCAAATATAATATTAACGGTACTATTTTTTATGAAAGTTTGTTATTATTACGCGTATCATACTAAGAATGTCTATACATTTTATTTACAAATAGTTAGTAAATGCAATTTAGAATTATCCGTTTTCATGAGAAATATTTACCGAAGAACAATATTGCATATTATTATAAACAAAATTCAAGGTTCCAGATAATATCTGACCTCATGTGGACGCGTGTAATAAAAAATCCATTTCTATGAATCCATTGAGATTATTTTTACATTTCATATATATATTTTTACATTTCATATATATTTAATAGCTTAAAATATTTTAAGCTATTAAAATGTTTTATACCTTCATTACTTCTCCCAGTAATATTAGTCTGTTTCTGTTTATTTTTAACTTTACAGTAACTGTTTTCCTATTGTAGCATTTGATTTATTCAATAGGTCTGGCATACATACACATCAAATGATGACGTAAGTAGCGATTTGAAATAATTGCTATATTATCTTAACTTGTTTGTGTTTCATATGTAAAACATACAGAAAGAATATTATATTGTGGAGTAGCGAGTAATCAAAATTTGTAATGGAAATACCAAACTACTAAATACATACTAAACGTAAGAAAATAAAAAGCAGAGAACCAGTCTTTCAGGGTGTCGGTTTAAAATAAAAGTGTATGTTTCTTAGTATGTTCTTTGTGTTATTGTTGAAATGATGTACCTAATTCTTTTATTTGGTATATTCTGTTCTGTTAACGCACGTGAGTATCTTTAAAATATAAATATACTTTTCAAAATAACATTTTTTTAATCTAAAAAGTAATGAAATCAAAATTGGGAAAATGAAAATTAAATAGATGATTAATAATGCACCAATTTGAATAAAAATGTCGTTGAAAAATAGTTTCCCCCGATTTTCCAGATTAAGAATAATTATTGATTAAAAAAAACATAGGTATGACTTGTCGAAGAGACCAAACTACAAGGTCTCTTCACCTATTTCTGTAAACATAATAAGTTAAGTCTTTGAATTATACAGTCATTAAGAATAATTTTCTTCACAAATTAAGTGTTAGAAGGAATAGGAATAAAAACGTTTATTAAAAATTTACATATACCGAGGGTTTCTCAAAAATGGCTCACCCCTGTAACTTTTCTATTTTTTATATAAATAAACTCGATTTGGTACGTTAGTAGTTATATGACATAAATCAGGCTTGATTGACGTATTCAATTGTTTTAAATCAATTTTTGTTTCACCGGAAATGACTACAACTTTTGATGCATCCTCGGTATTTTTTTTACTTTATTTGATAGAAAACGACCTCTGACTAGAATGTCATATCATATGTCAACTTTTTGCATACCCGCTTAAAAAAATGTTTTTTAAACTTCAATCTAGAATTCCATGGTTAAAAACTCTAATTTTTAATCAAGGACCCTTGGAAAAGTAGATTTGATCATCTAATATTTTTCGTGTTTTGTCCTGACCGGTTAAAAGATCACAAATCGTATTTTTAATCATAACTCAAAATTTTTCGAATGGAACGAAGGTGGCTCATTAGCATATTTTAAAAAGATTTTTTTACTAATAATTTGGTACCACAGACTTGATATTTCGAGTCAAATTGTGGTTACATTTATGGCACATGGCACTCTAAATTGAAATATAAAATTCCATATTTTATTAACCAAAAATGTCGAAAGTTGACATATAAAATATGTCATTCTATTCAGGATGTCATTTTGTATAAAAAAAATAAAGAAAAAATGCTGAGGGTGTCATTTAAAAATCAAAAGTTGTAGTCATTTTCGAAACAGGAAGCGACCGAAAACAATTGAATACGTCAATTAATCATAATTTATGTCATGTAACTAAATCTCGTTTTTAGATAAAAAATAAAAAAAAGTTATAGGGGTGGGCCAATTTTGAGAAACATACGGTAATCATTATAATCTATTACTAATTCCATAAATATGCCAAATATTTGGTAAATATTAATTTAATTGAGGATAAACTGTGTGTAAGTAACGATTAAAAAATAAAACACTAAATCACCCAATAGACCAAAACACTTTTACTTTTACACTGGACGCGCGTTTCGCTAACCATGTTAGCATCATCAGCAGATGATTATAAATTAAAATACAATCTACAATTGGAGCGTTTATGTACTCGCTCAGTGGGCACAGAGTGGGCGTGGCAAGATCTAGCCAACCGAGTCAGAACCCCCCGAGCGTAATAGTTAGATTTCCGCAACTAGAGTAGTAGGAACAAAGAACTTGAAGGAATTGGACCATTGTCTCTGTTCATACTATCTTTACATTTATTAATTCTGATGCTTTCATATGCATCTAATTGTAATTTGAGACTTGTTTAAGTAATTTTAAGCTATTAGGATCTATACAATGTTCTTTATCAACAATATGTTCGGCAACGCAAGATTTATCAGGTCTACCATATCTTATCTGAGCTAAATGTTCTTTAAATCTAGTTAAATATTGATCTTCTAGATTGCCCAACATATTGCTGATTACAGTCTTTACAAGAAATTTCATAAATACCCGACCTTTCCAGTAGAGGTATTTTATCCTTTGGATTGCCTAATAATTATTGTATTTTATTATTAGCACTATACACAAGTTTAAATAACAGTCTTAATAACTTAAAATTACTTAAACAAGTCTCAAATTACAGGCAATTAGATGCATATGAAAGCATCAGAATTAATAAATGTAAAGATAGTATGAACAGAGACAACGGTCCAATTCTTTCAAGTTCTTTGTTCCTACTACTCTAGTGGCGGAAATCTAACTGTTACACTTAGTGTGTTCTGACTCGGTTGGCTAGATCTTGCCACGCCCACTCTGTGCCCACTGAGCGAGTACATAAACGCTCCAATTGTAGATTGTATTTTAGTTTATAATCATCTGCTGATGATGCTAACATGGTTAGCGAAACGCGCGTCCAGTGTAAAAGTAAAAGTGTTTTGGTGTATTGTGGTGATTTAGTGTTTTATTTTGCTGTGTAACACCAAAGGTTCCAACCCTCAACTGTAATATAAGTAATTATTACTTAGAAATAGCGACTGTATGTACAGACTGTCTCGTGTGATTTGCAGGATTTCTCGTTTATGAGTTTAAAGATGGATTCAAAGATGCGATTTTCACATAACTATACTTCTTTATGAAAATAACTATGCTACACAGATTTGTCCTAGCCCTCTTAATTCCTGAAATACAGGGAAAATTAAAAATGTTGCATTTTTCGACATCCTTTGTATCTCGGTTGTTGAAAAATTCATCGACAGGGTAAAAACTGAGTCTCATGGAGTTTTTTTTACGTATACAGAAAAAAACAATAAGGTATTTTTTTTAACAATAGTCTTATTATTGAGAGCAAACCCATTCATACAAACAGTGCAGTTAACAGAAATATTATAATCATTTTAATTTAAATATAGACATATTGTTAAAACTGAAAACATTTTATTATTCGACATAGAACAAAACATATTCAGCAAATAAAAAATACTCATTTATGGTAAACTGGTTCCTAATGTAATGTAACTAATAGTTAAAGCTTCTAATATTACATATTTTGCAGGGACATTTTATTATTATTTTTGCAAGTAGAGATGCTTTTTTTCTATCAAAGAGTTGCTTACATACAACGATTAGACATATAGTTTAGCACATTTTACCTTACAACGAATCAATTATTTAACGGTCATGTAAAATATAACGCAGGTTTACACCGAACGCAGTAAATTTTGTTCAATGATATGCTATCGTTCGCCCAACGCTTGTATTGTTTATACGACTATATCACAAATTAATTATACTTAAAAAGTTAAAAAATGTAATAAAATGCATTTTTTATCAAAAATAAGTATAGAATATATTATATTATTAGAAAGGCTCTTGACCAGGCAAATATAATAAAAAATAATATACAACATGTCCGATTTAAAAAATCAAAAATTTGAGTCATATTTTCGAAATAACAGCTACCAGCGAAAAACTAGTTACTCTACTGTTTTTTACGTAAAAGACCCTACAGGGCTCAGTTTTTCGATTATTTATAAGATAACTAAGATACGAAGAAGATCGAAAAACGCAAAATTTTTAAATTCGCCCTGTATTTCAGAAACCGAAGGGGTTAAGTCAAATCTGTGTAGCATCTTTAGTTTATACAGGGTCCGGCAATAGTGCGTCGGGCATCTGTAGCTCCTAGAATAAAAAACTTGGGAATTTTGTTTAACTGCAAACCTAAAGTATGTACTAGGATGTATTTCAGAAAAATATTTTAACTTCTATAGGGTGGTTCAAAAAAAGAGAAAAAAATGCAAAAATTTTTTGCATTTAGAGTATTTCAAAATTTTTGACGGTTTCGCAGATATTCCCGGTTTTGTATTTCATATGGCATTTCCTACAGTAAATTTTTATCAAAGCCACCCAATGATTTTTCTCTCGTATTTTACCATTGAAAGCGCCATATGAAATAATACTGCGTGTATCCGGAAAACTACTAAAAATTTTGAAATACTTTAAATACAAAAAATGTTCATTTTTTAATTCTCCATCAAATAAAAAATAATATACATACGAGTATATATATGTTCTATTTAAAAAAAAAACAAAAAAAATTATTTTATATTTTTGAAAGTTTGGCGTAAAATATTGAACATCCTGTATGATTTACGATTACCATACTTATAGCAAAGTAAGAACAGACCATCTAAAGTAAATATCTAATATAGTTTTGATTTCAGAACAGTTCTTGTATTTTTAATATTTTTTTTAAGAAGGGTTGAAAAATACATATTTTTTGATTTATTTTTTAATATCTCTGAAACTATCGAAACAGATTTACTCATATCTTAGGATTATGTAAAATGATCTGAAAGGAAGCCAAAAATGCAATAATATACAGGGTGTTCCATTTAAAAAAAATTATCCAGATCCACTCACACTTTTTTGAGCCACCCTGTAGAAGTTAAAATATTTTCCGGAAATACATCCTGGTACATACTTTAGGTCTGCACTTCACTCAACTAAAGTTTTTTATTCTAGGAGCTACAGATCCCCGATGCACCACTATTGCCGGACCCTGTATACTAGCCCTGGTCACTTTATTTCCGTGGTCTGTACTTTAATGCATACGACAGAGATAAATATATATAGTTGACAGACCGAGAGACAAAACAAAAAGCGGCATATAGTGTTGCCGGTTCGTACGAGAAATAAAATGATAAACGAAGATAATATATCTAAGCTATTTAATAATGCTCATTTCTGTTAGAAAATTGTTTAAAAATCTATTACAGCTGTAGTAAAATGGTAGTGTACTAAGCTACAAACTAATTGTGAAAAAAAAAGTTCCAGTCCTAGATGAAATATTTTTCGTAAACACCGGTGCGGTTTGAAATTTTGATTCAAAATCCAGCAATACCGAATAGAAGAAATGTATCACCTGGGGTTATATAGTCAAAGGTATCAACCTAGCTTTTATGACTTTTTAATACATTTCATTTTTCATTTAAGCTGTCTACGTCACTGTCTTACACGTTAAAATCCAGACCACGCAGTTTCTTAATATCTACTTTTGTTATAATCTTTATCACTTCGCTAATTTAAATAATAATTTTAGAAAACGTTGGTGGCTTCTGCAGGACACCTTCAGGAGAATCGGCGAAATGTATCAACATCTACCAATGTAATTCTATTCTTGTTCTTTTACGTTTGCCCTCAAGAACTAGTGATCAAGTGCAATTTCTTCGAGACTCTCAGTATGTATGGAATTTTGGAATAAAATAAAAAATAATATTTTATAAAAAAAATGTCAGTAACCTTATATTAATAATATATTACAATTTGTTCGTAACAACAAATGTAGTTAACATGCCAAAGGTATCTTACTTGTACTTCTTTACCTACATTTACATCTATGGCCACTCTACCCCTTCCGTAGCATTGAACTAAATAAATGTTGTGCTTCTTTAACATTTTAAAACAGCAAAAAATTTTACTTTAATTAAAATTCTATCAATAATAGCATCAAAGAATGAAATCGAAATTATATTATAGAAACGCGTTTTGATGCAACTATATTTTCAGTTTTTTTTTATTTTCTCTCATAAGGTCTGGAAATTTGGAAAAGAATAAATGGGATTATAAACTACTCAAAACAATTATCGCATATTTTCTAAAAAAAAATATTAATTTGAAAAACAAGACACTTTGAATTCCCTGACTTACGATTTTAAATATTATGGATACTGTGAAGGGAAATTTGATACAATAAGCCTACGTGCTGATCTGTAATTTTTAGTCGGCCGACTATTTATTTGCAAAAGTGAAAACAATACACACTTATGAAGTCGATCGGCCGACTATTCGATTGCATGTGAGCGCGGCTCCATAAGGACATATTGGTTACAAATATGCAACCAAAAATTCGGCCGATTACAGCGCATAGCCTAAGGTATAGCCTAATGTAAATATTGGGCCGATCGGCTCCATAAGAATGGATTGTTTTCATTTTTGCAAATAAATAGTCGGCCGACTAAAAATTACATGTCAGTGCGTACCTTAATTATCCTAAAAAAACTCACAAGAGAAAGGTAGAAAAATGCATGCTTCATTTAGAAATATGTAATAATTACTTTTATTCCAAATTAATATGCTATAATTGCTTTGAGTAGTGTATTATGGGGGAGCAAAATTTTTATAAAGAATGTGTTTTTCTCAAAATATCAATATTAAAAATGTTCTTCCTCTTGTAAAGACAATCTGGGGACATACAGTAGATGGCAAGTATCAGAGATGGTAAGAATCTAATGCAGTGCACTTTTAATATAATTATTTCTTTTGAAAATGTATACATTTAGTACATAAAGATAACTTACTTAAATTTATTACTGCTATTCTAGATGTGGAAGTGGTGCCAATGGAGCACCTCTAGTGTGTTGTGGATCGAGTTCAGCACTAGTCAAGACTACTCTTCCAGAAGAAAATATACCTTATAAAGCAAATTCTTTAATTCCAGATAGAACATCATGCGGAATTCAGGTAAAATTTCCATATAATATATCGAAAATGAAAATTCATTTATAAAGAAAATTTAATATATTTAAATCAAAGAAGCATCAGCCACATATAAGAATTTTACGCCAATAGTATTGGCTTAAAATTCTTACTACATTCATAAAGTAAAAAAAATGAATGTATATTATACAGGGTGGGTCTGAAATATGTGCAAATGTTTTAGGGACTGTATATTTCGACGGGTTTCTGAGGTGAAATTCTCGAGATGCTCTGAATTAATTTTATCTGAAGACTTACTTTTCCCTTATTTTGTTATAAATATTAATTGGTTTTCTGTAAATTTAGGTTTTTAATTATAGAAAAAATATTATCGGGTTATATAAATTTTAAATTGTGTATGCTAACGGCACATACACGCACAAGGACACCTGGGAAATGGCAATCGATGATAATTTTGGCTCTAGACGTAGTTTACTAGAAATTGATATAAAACTTGTCAAAAATTAACACTAATTATAGAAATATTGAAAACGGATAGATCGTTTCCAGACACGCAATTTTATTTCCAAAAAAAACATTTTTCTCGAATTTTAAACTGCACCATTTTTTTTTTAAATTTGGTACTTTTCGAAAAAAAAATAATTTTTCAATTTTTAGTTAAAGTTTTTTTAATTTTTAGTTAAAAAACATAATATAATGATATTATGGCAACATAGATAGTAGATTAAATTTGCAAAAAAGAAAACCCAAACAAATCCATTGGTTCTCAAAATATGAGCAAATTTTTTATTTTTTATTTTCAAAGTAAAATGATTAGGTTATTTTGGACTTATTTGAAAAACGCTAAAGAGAAAATATGTTTTTTTTATCGCGATCTACCAGCCCTGAAAATATTTGCACTTATTTAAAATTCATCATGTACATATAAAGATTTTTAGGAAAGACAAACAGAAGAATAATAATTAAGGAGTCATAGTTAATGGTAATTATTGTAAGTTTAAAAAAATAATTTTAATTTTATATAAAATCCATTAAAACTATTCTAGAGTCTGAAACGACTCCAAGAGCTCTTGCTTATCAGTGGCTCTTATTGAATATCAGTGGCTAACACAAATCAGGACATCATATTAAATCGAGAAAATCCCGTAGATATAGTTTAACAATGGATGTGAAATATCATTAGTGACTGTATTGTTAACAATTCAACTGTCTGACTGTAATTAAAGAAAAAATTATGGATACACCCATTATTATCTGAGAGATACCAAAAAAACTAAAAGAATTTCGGACTTTCATTGTCTTTATTTATTTTGCTTACACAACGAAAAAGATGTATCACTGACCGTTATCAAGTGTGAACTAAACTAAATCCTAAAACAACTGAGTTTATATACTGGAGTCGAGCATTCATCACTGAATTACTTGGGTGCAGTCCAGCATGAGGTGCTCCACTAAGAATACCTGCATTGGTGCGTTATATGAGTGGTTGCCATATTACTGAAATTTCCATATTTGGATTGCTAATTGCTAAAGATTTTCTTATTGTTAGAAATGAATAGGGACTCTTTAAATTTGCGCTTTTTGGATGGGGTTCTTTGTTGACAACCCCGGCTTCCGACCATATTATGTTGTGGTACTTGGACCATACGTGATTTGCAATGCCCGACTTCATTGTTTCACCTTTTTATGTATGTTTTTTTTATGTTCGTCAAGTCGTACATGTAGAGGATTTGTCTCTCCAATATACGACTCACCACACTCGCAAGTTACCTGGTAGATGGATGCACTCTTCTTCTTGATTTGGTAATTCCGGTTTTGTTCTTCTTAGAGCCTGATCTTCTCAGGTGTTCCTGCTGGGGTTGTCCTCAAAGATCCTCATTGAAAAAATAACAGTAAATTAGACGAGAAGCCATTTTTATACAAACAACAATATCATACTGCGGACAATCTGGCGCTTGACTGCATCCCACTTTTTTATAGAAGAATGGATTATTCTAGTATTTAAGCTCAGTAATTTTAGAATTTAGATTAGTTTATACCTGAGTATGGTACACATCTCACCGTAACGTTGTGTTCGAATCTCTTTTAGTATCAGTATCATTAACTTTGTATTTTGCAGACAAATTCGCGTATATTTGGTGGCGAGCAGACAGATTTAGATGAATATCCCTGGATGGCAATTTTTCAGTATCAAAATATAAGAGGTGAAAAGAAGTACGGTTGCGCAGGAAGTCTAATTAATTCGAGATACGTTTTAACTGCAGGCCATTGCGTCACTGGTCCGGTATTGACTAAACTTGGACAACTGTAAGTTACACTGAGAGATAATATTATAGGGTCAAGTGGGGGTATAAAAATGAGGCACGCTACAAGGGTGTTTTGTAGGCCGTTCAACGCCGATACAACTTTTAATCGGCATTAAACGGCGTTTTAAAAATTTTGCTAAAAGAGAAAAGAAAGTCAGTAGATCACAAATTTATTTTAGAAAAATATTCCAGTGATAACACATATCGTCGGCTTTATAACAAAAAGGCTGTGATTTTTGGCAATTTCGAGATACTAACTTCATGACATGCCCAATGGGCCATTTTTTAGCATGGAAAACTGGCTGTAACTCAATATTATACCTTATTAATTTTATAATAATTTAAAAAAATTCCCTATCATAAATCTTCTTCTTAAAGTGCCTATCCTCTTTGGATGTTGGCTATCACATTGATCCATATTACTTTGTTCACTGCCGTTCTGAACAAAGCTGTTGGCGTCAATCCGGTCCATGTTCGTAGATTTAGCAGCCACGATATTCGTCTGCGTCCCGCTGATATTCTGCGTTCTATTTTCCCCTGCAGTATGAGTTGGAGTATCGCAGGATCGGAGATTTCTCGTTCCGCATGATGTGTCCGAAGTATTCCAGTTTTCTACGTTTGACATTCACTAGAAACTTCAACTCCTTGTTGATGCGGTGTAGTACAGTCTCATTTGACACGCGATGCACCCACGAAATGCTAAGCATGCGCCGATAGCACCACATCTCAAATGCCTCCACACGCTTGCATGATGCGTCGGTAAGGGTATAGGCCTCTGCTCCATACAGAAGGGCTGAGAGCACGTAGCATCTTAGGATTCTGAGTGCGGACGTTGAGGGACAGGTTGCATAGTATATTTCGCATTTTGTTAAATGTCCCTCTCGCGATTTCGATTCGGTGTTTTATTTCGCGAGAGTGGTCCCAGTCTTTAGTCAGGGTGCAGCCCAGGTATGCAACTGTCTCGGCCGCTGGGAGAACGATGTTGTTAGCAGTGAACTGGAAGTTGTTGATGTAGTTCTTGCTAATGATCAACGTTTGAGTCTTCTTGCAGTTCATCTTCATTCCGTATCTGCTGCATGTATTCGCTACACGATCTATAAGCCTTTGGAGACCTTCAGTGGTATCGGCCAACAGAACGGTATCATCTACACATCTCAAATTGTTTACTATTTCTCCGTTTATTACCAGCTCATCCTCTGTGCCATCCAGTGCCTCTCTAAATAGATGTTCCGAGTACACATTGAATAGCAGAGGCGACAATATACAGCCCTGTCGCACTCCCCTCCTTACACTAAACTATTTTGAAGTTTCCTTCTCGATTCGAACCATGGCCTTTTGTTGACGATAAAGTTTTGCTATTATCCCTGTATCTCTATCGTCTATTCCTGATTCCTGTAAAATCGAGATGAGTTTGTCATGCTGGACTTTATCAAAGGCCTTTTCGAAGTATATGAAGCACGCAAAGACATCTACATTGACGTCGCCTACTCGTTGGATTAGGACTTGTATTGAAAACAAGAAATTTATGTAGGAGTGGGGGTATTTCATTCTTCCCGTCCTTTTTCTTGATTTTTGTCAAATGTTAAAACGTTTAACAAAACAACCCTAAAAATCGCCCACCCTCATCCACAAAATATTGGGACACCTGTATAGTCAGCATGTTGATTTTATAATAATAATGACATGTATTGACTATTTCCATTCCAAATATCTGGAGAACGGTTGCTCTTAGCGATTTTTACTAAGAGACCTTTTTTACGTAAAAAATGACGAAAATGTATATTTTTTCTATCAGTAATTTTATACAGGTACGGACGAAAAATTATTACTCTTCAAAACAGTTAAAAAATATATGTAGCCCCCTACAAGTAGGAGTCATAACACATCGAAATTAAATTTCTCATGTCAAAAAACACCAAGACACCAAATTTTACACAAATATCAACTTTAGTTCAGAAATTATTTGAAAAAAATCGAAATAAAAATGAAACTTGGCCGAAGACTATAATCACAATTTATTGTTACTATAATCCATGTATAATAGTTGAATCATTATAATTATTAGCTATAAAGTTGTGTAGAATATGCTGTAGAAATACTGCTATTATAGATAAACTCATTTTGGCACAAAATTTATATGTGCATTTGCTGCTTCAAGACATGGGTACACAGGGTTTTCTGTATAATGACACGCTAGTGTAGTGAACATGCGAGATCTGCGAAACTGTTAAAAATGTTGAAATACTCTGAATACAAAAAATCTTTATTTTTTGATTCTCCATCCAATAAAAGAAAAATATACAGAGTGTTCCATTTAAAAAAAAACGAAGAAAAATTATTTTATATTTTAGAGAGTTTGCAGAGTCCCTTTCTGAAGCCGAACTGATTTTCACCTATGTTTTCATCGAGCTTCCTATATATATACGTGTTTGGATGATATTAAGGAGGATTTTTAGGACGTGGCTGTACTGTGAACGTGTTATCCTGTGATCAGAGCATTTGGTCGCGCTTGCCTTCTTGGGAAGCGGTATAAATATTGATAGCAGCCAGTCGTTTGGGATTGGACCACCTGTATAAATTTTGTTGAATAGGGTGGTCAGTAGTTGAACTTGTTCCGAGTCAAGCAGTTTAAGAACTTCTCCGTTTATCTGATCCGATCCGGAAGTCTTGTTGTTTTTCAGACATTTGATAGCTGCTTCCACTTCTTCCTGTGTAATGGTGGGCCCTATATTGCCAGTTCCTTCAGTTATGTCGTCACTATTTTCGTTTCCGAAGAGCTCCTCCATATACTGTCTCCATCTTGAGAGTTTTTTTATCTGTTTCTGTAATGATGCCATCGTCCGTGTCTAGGATTACTCCTCCACCCCACTCTCGATGTCCTCTGGTTGCTGCCTTTATTTTCTTACGTAAGTTGAAGCTGTCATGTTTTGCTTGTAACATTTCGATTTCTACACATCTTTTCTGAAGCCATCGTTCCTAAGCCTCCTTGATTGCTTTCAAGACTTGTCTATGCGTTTCCTTGTATTTTTGGTTATCTTTGTTTCGGTGTTGCCTTCTTTCCTCCATAAGTCTCAGAATATTATCAGTCGTCCATTCTTTTCTTTTCACTGTCTTATCGGGCCTCAGTTCCCTCTTCGTTATGGAAGTTACGGATGTTCTTATTTTCTTCCACAGCTCTTCTACTTCTGTTTCAGGATTGCTCTCCTCGGAGATACTTCTCAGTTCGTTATTTATTATATTCTTTGTTCGTTGTAGTATATTTTCTTGTTGAAGTTTTCGTACGTCAAGTCGCTTCGAGGGCATTTTTTTGACTATTTTCTTTAATCGGAGTCTGATTCGAGCTAGTAGCAAGTTATGGTCTGTTGGTATGTCTGCGCCTGGATAGGTTTTACAGGACGTGACGGAGTTGCGGTATTTTCTGTTTATCATCACAAAATTAATTTAATTTCTCACGATTCTGTGGTTACAGTCAGCCGGAGATTTCCAAGTGTATAGTCTTCTTGGGGGTAGTTTGAAGAAGGTATTCATAATTGTAAAATCTGTTTGTTGGTAAAATTCTTTTAAGCGTTCTCCCCTCTCATTTCTCACTCCCAATCCGTAATTTAAAACTACGTTCTCGACTATTCCTTGTCCAATCTTGGCATTCATGTCACCCAAAATTATGTTGATTTCTTCTTTTGTTGTGTTTTGAGGCGCTTCGTAGACTTCTTCTATTTCTTGTTCACTGCTTTCTGCCGTCGGTGCATATACCTGTATGACATTTAAGTCGAATGGTTTCGTTCTGATTTTGATTAGCGCAACTCTACTCGAAACCGAATCCCTTTACTGCTTTATTGGTTTGTTTGCTGAGGACTATTGCTACCCCATTTCTGTTTCTGGGAGTAGTATCTCCAGAGAAATATATGTGGTGTTAATCTATAACGCAGTTGCCCGAGTTTAGCCATCTTGTCTTACTACATCCTAGAATGTCAATTTGGAGCCGTTTCATTTCCTTCACTATATTTGCCGCTTTCCCGGCTTGGTACATGCGTTGCACGTTCCACGTACCAATTCTTTTCTCTTTGTTTATCTTGAAGATATCGTTAATGGACCGGGGGATTCTTAGCACCGTCTCCCCACCTAAGGGGTGCCCGGGACTGAGGGCCATAGTTTTATTTTCTTTTTCCATTGTGATATCTTGGGGAATATGAGTAAGTCAGGTAGTTTGCCGTAGCTTTCCCGACTGTATAGAATTTAGCCGCCCCTAACATGGAGAACAGACGCTGTTCTCCATATCTGGCTATCCTCATTCAGTTTCGCCCGCAGGTGGATGCAGTTACCAGGGTGTGGCACGTGGAGCCATGAATGAGAATTGGGTGCCCTGCGAGGGCTAGTCATCGCCGGCCAGACGCCGAAAATATCGTTGCTTGCCACCGCCCTTGATGAAAGGTACACCTGTACAGCGCAACCCCTACACCCTAAATGCTGTCCTATGCTAAATACTAGAACCAAAACTTTTGGTACTAGTATTTCCCTTTTCGTCATAAATCCGACGATATGCACGTCTCTGATGAATACTACACATTTTTAGCATTACGATAGAGCTACCAACCATCCTCTATTCCAGAGGACAGTCCTCTTTTTCTCTCACGTATTGAAAAATTCTTCTTTTTTATATACCAAACTGAAAATCTAAAAAAATATTCATCTATCGCCACAATGCTTCAAAAAATTGTTAGCCTGTGTCTTTCGCTACTCCAATACGTTTGTACAGAAAAGAAAATGAAGAAATGTTTATGTACAAGAAATATTTGAGGAAGCGATAAACATGTTTAACTCCACAAGTTGTTAATTTGTTTATTACTCGCGGCAAGAGCTGTTGAAATATGGCAACCTCGGCCCGCTCGTTGATAGACGACGCGAGGGGCCGAGTCGGCAGAAAACCCTATAAGTGCATGCGTTCTCAATAGGCAGTATTGCCATTCTGTTCCCCTATAAGTAACTGTCCAGTTAACAACCTGCATGTATACTTACTCTTAGCTTATGTTTTGAAAAAAAAGTTTTGTTGAAAATGGTTTGTTTTATTTTAACAAGTTTTGAGTATAAATATTTTTAAGAAAGTAAGAAAAGCTAACAATCGCATACAGTTGACATACCTTTTTGGTAAATTCTAGACATTTGGGCGAGGTTTTAAAAGTTTCGCCTGTATCTGGTTTTTACGCTCTCGTCCTATATTTTTTATTTTGAAAGTTGGCAACCCTATTTTAAGATAGGTTGCACTTATAGTAACTTTACCCTAAAAATTTCATTCGAATCGCCAAGGCCGCCATTACACTATCAAATCTCTCTGTCAAAGATCTTTGATAAAAATATTTGATGAAAAATTTGACAGTGTTAATAATATTTTATAAAATCACACATATTACACTCTCAAATTCTTTGACAAAATAAAATCTTTGTATACATTTGGAAATTATAATAAATCGAAAAGAAATTAATACTTTAACCCCCCGTAGCTAGGAAACGAAGAAGAATTGGATCTGAGATCTGAGAATCGAAGCAGAATCGGATGTTCATATGAAAAATAAAAATATTGTTTTTATATGGGGATTCTCCTCACAAGAGATGGCACATGTTTTTTGAAACACCCTGTATGTTTAATTTATATTCTTCTTGTCTTATATTTATTTCAGCACTTATGGGACGAATTTTTGGGATACATATGTTCTGTCATTTTTACACTTTTTAAACATGAGACTTTTTTGAAATAGTTTCGTTACCGTCAAATGCCTTTTATAGAAGAAATACTTTACTTTTGTGGAGGGTGTATACTTTACTTTTGTGGTGTTTTCATCACATGTACATTTTCTTGGCAGTAGTTGGCATCAGTCTTACGGCAGTTAGCTATAGTTATATTATGGTAAACATAGTCAGTCTTCTTCGCCGTCATTGGCAGTACATGTACAGTACGTCTGTCCGTTCTTTAGCTACGGGGTATCCGTGAGAGGGGAAACGATATTCTCTCGATGTTTTTCGTAAAAAATTAGACGACGCGTCCCATCCATAAAAATTTGACAAATTTGCCAATAGCCAATAATTTTATTGGCTTGAGTGGGCGGAATGATAATTTTATCATTTGAGTGGGCGGAGCGATTTGCGGTGACTCCTCAAGTCGACGTATAAAATATATTGTTGTTTATTTAAATGTTTTTTGTCCGCATTCCTTTCATAGACACAGATCCAGCAGACGTACTGTACAGGGTGGGTCAAATTGGACGTTTTTAAAAGGAAATACCCTTTTCTGTAGAAGATAGATGAAAACTAATATCGGTGTCTGGAGCTCAATTCTTATCAAAAATAATATGATGGTTAAAACCGCATATCGATATCTATTACCGTTTCGGAGTTACGGGGTGTTTTTCAAAAATGTGCATTTTTAACAAATCGCTGTAACCTTTTTCTATGGAAAATTTTGTATTTCTGTGAAAACATTTTCAAAGCACCTTTTTACGTAGAATTTAATGGTTTCAGTATAATTTTTTTAAAATTAATAATTTAAAAATTACCCACAAAAATTTGATTTTTATATGAGACACCCCGTATATTTTTAGTTCATTGCAAATAATTTAAAATTATATTTCCAAAAATATAGCACACTTGCTATTTTGCTCGATTCCTCTTCGAGATATGACGGGACCGTTTTTGAATATTTCTCGTGGAATTAATTAACTCAGTGGAAGTGAAAGATACCCTCGCATAACCGCAAGTACTTCTAATTCTTGTCTAGATTATACGACCAATTTAAAAATAAGAACCTTTATTATTCCGCTAATAAAAAAAAAATTATAGGCTCTAAGTCCGGCGGCGTCGACGGCCAACAGCTGGGATCTTGGTTAGGTATTCAATTACTCTCAAAATTGGCTGCAAAAATTTGCTGATAACTTCAGCATTCTGATGTGGTGCCTCGTCTTGTTGGAAAAATATGTTTTCAAGTTCCACTGAGAGCAGATCATCAATAAGGGGTCCAAAGCCTACTAGTTAAAAGTGACTACAACAAAATATCAAGTATGCTATATTTTTGGAAAGGTAATTTTAAGTTCTTTTCAACTAATTAAAAATATGCAGGGTGTCCCAAATAATAAATCAATTTTTCTGTTGATAAGTCTTAAATTAATAATTTAAAAAAAAAATATACTTGAACCATTAAATTCTATATAAAAAGATGTTTTGAAAATCTTTTACAAAAATACAAAATTTTCCATAGCAAAAAAGTTACAGCGATTTTCTAAAAATGCACATTTTTGAAAAACACCCCGAAACTCCGAAACGGTAACAGATATCGAAGTGCGGTTTTCACCATCATGTTTTTGATAAAAATTGAGCTCCAGACATCGATATTAGTTTTAGTCTTTCTATTAGAAAAAGGTGTTTCCCTTTAAAAGCGTCCAATTTGACCCACCCTGTACATTCTTTACCCAAGTAGCACGACTTTTGTACTAAACGGTTGTAACTAAGAAAAAATTAAAAGTTTTAAAAATGTCTTTTTTTACACCACTTGATCCTATTTCTAAAAAGTATAATGTTGCCTATTTACTGAAATTTCTGCAAAAAAATTAAATTATTTAGTATAACCACGATAATTTACTTCACATTTAATAAACACAAAAGCCAAAGCAATAAGACTCGGTCTCAACATTACGAGATTATTTTTATAAAATTTCATATTTAATAGTTTGTTTACTAAATCCAGTAGCGGATCTTCAATAAGTGCACATTGCGTGTGAACTCTCAAATATAATGCCATTAATGCCATTTCTTAAAAAAAACAATTAGAATTTTATCATTCGTCATTTTTTCTATTTATAAAAATGACTCGTCATAGACTTGAAACTCTCAACACTAAAACATTGGCGGATTCGGACTGATCCTAGGAACTATATTATATTATATGACGATAAATTTAATAATTAATATAAATTTTTAATAGTAATTTTCTTTAGATTGGCGATTTGATAGGCAAAGAAGAGTCTTTTTTTTGGTCATGTGAAAATATTTATCTAAGTTTGTGCGCCCCCAAAATCAGATTAAAACCTATATTTTTAATGATTTTACATATTTCGTATTTTTAGTGTGAATGTCCGTTTAGGTGAATGGGATACGGATAGTCCAAATAGAGATTGTCGAGAAATTAATGGAAAACAGATATGTAACGATCCCGAAATAAACGTAGGCGTAGACGAAATAATACCTTACCCAAGATATAATCCAGATGACAATGACAAATCTCATGATATTGCATTAATAAGACTGCAGAGACCAGTTCAATTTACAAGTAATTATGCAAAATATTTATTCGATATATTTTGCGATATTATATACTTGTAGATATTCTTAACATATTTGACATATACCATACTTACAAAAAAGACGACATCAAAAATGGCTGGGAAATGAAAATCGGTGATAATTTTGGCAAGGTCAAGCCTTAGATATCATTTACGTGGCCTGTAATCTTCTAATTTTTTTTAATGGCGATAACATAGTACATGGCGATTACTACCTTAAGAGTGTTGTATTTTATTTTTATATTTAGTAAAAATTATTTTTAAATAGTTTAATTAGTTTAAAATTCTAAAAAATTTCTATCCTTTTTTAATCTTTCTATAATTAATGTTAATTTTTGACAAGTTTTATGTCAGCATTTAGTAAATGACGTCTAGAGACTGACACCACCAAAATTATCATAGATTATCATTTCCAGCCGTCCTTGACGCTGTTTCTTTTCGATCATACGGTATTTAAGCTATCCAATTTACTTTTTTTTACTTTCAGAGTATATATTTCCGATTTGTTTACCTCTGCCCAATGAAGGATCGGTTATAAATGACAGCTTAATAGTAGCAGGTTGGGGGAAAACTGAGTATGGAAGAAACAGCAATTTAAAACTTAAATTAGAAGTTCCATTTACCGATAAAACTTCATGTGCCTCATTATTTAGAACATATAATATAAATATTGGCAATGGTCAAATTTGTGCTGGAGGTGCAGATGGAAAAGACTCATGTACAGGTATATCCAAAAAGTATAAAGTTTTTATACTCTCAATTTTTACGGAATTAAATTTTTTGTGTCATTTAACCCTTAAAGTAATTAGATGAAATAATAGATGTAATTAGTAATAATTACTCTCTGATGATCTCTGATCATCGGGAAAACTGATAATCATCGGAGAGAGTAAATATTTGAACTTCGACATAAATATTTGTCGATTAGATACACGGAATACCTATATATTTAAGTAAAACAGGTACAAATTATACCTAGCCATAGTGATCAGTTAGTATAAAGAAGTTATTGATAAAATTATAGCTTTGTTCGGGTTCTTGTTATTACCGTTTCTGAACCGCCCTAGAACTCTGCAGCGCATGCGCAAATGAAATAATGTCTTCATATTTCCTTCTGCGCATACGCATCACAGTTCTAGGACGGTTCAGAATCGGTAATAAGAGAAACCGGAATTAAGCTTATATAAGAGTTTCTTGCCTTGAACTGCTAATATAGAAATTAATTCCACACTGTGTTCGTCATAATGTGGATCGACCTGCTCTCAATACCGGTTTCGGAGCCCTATTCCATCATCAGGTGAGCTTGGGTCGATTCCACAAAATGATAAACATAGCGCAGAGTATATAAATACGACTTGTCGGAAAGTAGCGGTTAGGTTAGGTCAGGTTGGTGTATAAATTTTCTACATCAAAACTGACAAATTTATCTGAAGGATCTAATTCTACGTTCTTAAGTATACCTACAAGGTGTTTAGAATTCTTATAAAATGAGGAAGTTTTTCCTACCAATATGGTTGGACAATTTGAAGGAGAAATTTATTTAAGCTGCTAGTTGGTGAATCTCTTGAAGTAGTGATAGGTTTAAGTAACACACCACCTTTTTGAATTATTGATAATCTATAAAGGTGTAGAGGATTACTATGATCTGGTGTTGTTCTAATATCGTCAGGGATAAAATTCTTAAATTCCTATAAAACTTGTTAGTTTTTCTCTTTTTTTATTTGGTTTGGATATTACATAGTACGCAGTTTCGATGGTAAACTGGCATTTTACGAATGACGCCCGCAAGACTTTTCTGAAGAATCCAAAAATTGAATCATATACAAGTAAAGTTAGAATACAAGTAAAGTTAGAATATATTAGTTACTTAAAATAAGAAAGTTGGTATTGGAAGGTCTTGGCCACTGTTGCATGACACATTCTGTAGATATATATTTTTTGTTAATAAAGATGCGCTACTAAATATATCAATCAACGCTGTAATGTACTTTTCTGTAAATACAGAAAATTAATAACGATACAGGTATACAACATTAATAGTGACCTCTCCGATGATTATCAGAATAACCTAAACAAAAGTTGGTTTCTGGAAAACATTATTTAATTGTAACATGCAACCTATTTTAAATTTGACTCTGATTTGGTAAGGTTCTTAATTAACTCTTTGACTAAGGTGAATGGGACCTGATTGATTTCTATTAGTATTGTTTGAATGGTATTAAAATTAGTATTATTTGAATTTTATTTTACTCGTGAATGGGACGATGATTTCTATTAGTATTATTTAATGGGATATTTATACTCCGTTAGTTTTCAAACTTGTCACCCATATATCGTTTGGATTAACACAAGATACTGCGAAAGTTCTTTCTGTGCTGAACATTTTTACAATGATGGTTTATCAGCTAAATACCCTTATACGGTTACGTCAAATATATTTAACAACAATGTATTGAGAAATTAAAATTAGTTCATCAAATTAAAAACTTAATTAACATTGGTTTATCAAATGCAAAAATGCAAAGTCACAACAAAAGTATTTAAGGCTCATTTTGCTTCATGGGGCAACTTCATGGCGGAAAAATATCACAAATCAACAGTTTATTCGTGTCTTTATTTTCCAAAAATATTTAGTCTCTGAGTTTATATTAAGATTTCATTATTATTTTGTTACATTTTAGGAGATAGTGGTGGACCATTGATGAGGACGTTTCCCAATGACCAATTTCGATGGTATATAGAAGGAATTGTATCGTTCGGTATGAGATGCGGTACAGAAGGATGGCCTGCTGTCTATACAAGAGTTGCTGAATATGTAGCATGGGTTCATCGGACTGTCAGACAATGACAAAATTAAAAGAAATAACGTTAATTTTATCAATATTATTTTTGTCAAAATGAATAATCATGTGTTGTTTTAAAATAAACATACTAGAGATTTATTAAAATTACTTTCAGACATGTGAAACACAAAATGAGTATTTTTATATTCATATTTTTTGTACTCATAAATACGTGAATTTTATAACCTGATTAGGTAATTATATATTTTTTATTGTTTATCATCTTTATACATGATTAGGTAATGAATCTACTAGTATACATATTTTGGTATGGGCACATAATTATACAAGACGAAAATATATCTAACTGTATAATTCATCAGACAATTTAACTCTAACGACTAGTGCTCACCTAAATTACTTATGCAAAAAGATCAATAATGTTCCTATTACTTTAAACTGAATAAAATCTTCAGAATTACCCAACCTCTTTTTTTCCTCAAATGCATTTTATAGATATTCCCATATTAGGGTGAAGAAATGTCATTATGAAAATTACGCAGAGCTATTGAAATATTCAAAGTACCTAACCTCGATCGGATTAAAATATTACAATAATTGCTGAGACGCTTCTCTCAGCTTTATGGAAAAAAATACAATAGTATGCAGACAGAATATAATGGATATGTCAAACAGGCCCTCCAGATTTGAAGCATTGAAGATAATAATTTTCCTCCAACTTACACACATCGTGGTTTGATATTATATACGATATCATGTTTTTATACTCACGATATCATGCTTTTTTAACCACAGTGGCAACGGCCCAGCTACTTCGAAACACCGGTTCCCATTAGAACACCAAAGTGAAGCGACGTAAGGCGATACTAGTGGATGGACGGTGACCGGTTTGAAACTCTGTATTGTGCTGTTGTCCAAAAAAAGGCAAAAGTGTAAAATCTATTGACACACACTGCTCATTCATGCCGGTTCGAGGCCGGATGAGATCGGATATCTCGTGAGTAAGAGTCGATTTAGACACCTGCCAAGTCGGTAGGCCATTGACCATGATATGGCCGAGGACCGCGGTTCGGATACCGCGTAAACAAAGTAGGCCCCGTCCAGATTAGCCCTGGCAGCAAAAAGGAGACGTTAACTGAAATCTTTACTTTACTTTACTTTTTTTTAACCAGAGCAGAACAATACGAGGAACTATTCTGGTGAGAGATGACTTAAATTGGATTTAGCTATAAAATATGAAACATTTTCTATAACTCTATTTATTTAGATTTCAAGCCCTTGAATATTGCACCAAAAATGGGACAAATTGTATTTTGCCGCCATGACACTACTTCATTAAATTTTATTTCATCAAAAATGTTTACAGATTAATGCACAACGATGTTGGTTTCTACTGCATTACCAATATACAGGGTGGTCCAAACTGTGTTCCGGAAACTTCGGCAGCATATGCTGCGCATAAAAATAAGTAACAAAGTTCGTATAAACTTATGTCCGAAAATGCTTCGTTCCGGAAATACAGGCTGTAGAAGTTTCATTTTTATTTCGATTTTTTAGAAATAATTTTTGAACTAATGTCGACATTTGGATGAGAATTGATATCTGTTTTTTTAACATAAGAAATTTGATTCCCTTTTCCATATGACTCTTTCTACGGAAAATCTTAAAGGAAGTGGGGGTACCGCAACACCTTATTTCACTTATCATCCCGTTGTATCAGCACACAACAGGATCAGTTAGAATACTGGATTCAGTTTCAAAGGAATTTTCCCTCGAACAAGGAGTGAGACAGCGGTTTATATTGTCTCCGCAATTATTTAACATATACGGAGAATACATAATGAGAAGGTCGCTAGAAACATGGGAAGGAGGCATTTTAATAAATGGCCAAAAAATAAATAATCTACGCTTCACAGTGATACAGCACTACTCGCTAGCAGTCAATCAATTCAAGAGTTAATCAATTTAGTAAATAGGGTAGAAAACAAAAGCATTCGGCTCGGTCTGGAACTAAATACGCAAAAAAACAAAATCATGATAGTTGATAGGCAACATAACAACCATCCAAATATAAGTCATATCGACCGCTTTGAAGTCGTTAAGTCATACGTATACCTGGGATCACTATTGACAAATACAGGCACATCGGAAGAAGAGGTGAAGCGTAGGTGCAACATGGCAAAGGTAGCTGTTGGGAGACTGACCAAGATCTGGTAAGACCGCCAGATTTCAAGAGCCACCAAAAACCGTCTAGAAACTGTTTGGTACTCCCAATATTGACGTATGGCTGCGAATCGTGGACTCTCAGGCAGGCGGAACGTAAGAAGATCGATGAGATGTATTGTTATAGACGTATGCTCCGTATCCCATGGACTGAACGCCGTACAAACGTTTCCATTATAAATGAACTTAATATTACTAACAGGCTTTCCTGTAAAATCCGACTAAAACAACTAAAATATTTTGGACATATAATGAGGAAAAGTCCGGACAATATGGAAAGACTCATAATTCAAGGCAAGGTAAAGGGACGTAGACCACGTGGCCGCTCTCCAACTCGATGGATAGATCAGATCACGACTAGCTGTAGCAAGCCAATGCACGATGTCTTCGAGATGACAAAAGACAGAGGCGCATGGAGAAAAATCATCCATGATGTTACGCTGACCACTACACTCCCTAATGGGGGTCAGGACTGAAGAGAGAGAGAGAGAGAGATGACTCTTTCTTGTAGGAGGGGCCTACATGCTTTTTAACTGTTTTGAAGAGTAATAACTTTTCGTCCGTCCCTATATTACACAACTGAGTGAAAAAATATACATTTACGACGTTTTCTACGTAAAAAAAGTCTAAAAATGTCTCTTGGTAAAAATCGCTGCGAGAAACCGTTCTCAAGATATTTGGATTCTTATTAATCAATACTTGGCCATCAATGACAAAAATTAAACATGTTCACTAGATAGATTGTTTGTATAAGTTAATAATTTTCGTAACGTTCTGATAGCAAAGGTTCAACAGAAGCTGGTTTAAAACCTAACTGTAAAGTTTTTGCGTAATTTTTGAAAAGTTGTATTTCCGTTAAAACGAGTTGATGCTAAAGGTTCTACTACTGTTAATAAAGTTTTTGCCATTTAGAAAATTGACATGCATTGATTATTTTAAATACGAAGATTTATCTATAATAGTTATTTGTTATAATTTTTACCAAGACACCTTTTATGTAAAAATGACGAGAAAAACTATATTTGTACTTAAATAAATTTAATATTAACTAGAGTTGGGCCTTACCTTGCATACCCTTTATTTTTAAATCAATTAATGTTTTAAAATCGCGAAATTTCTAGAAAACTTACAGTTAGGTTTTAAAAGAGCTTCAGTTGAATCTATCATACTAAAATATCTGGAAATTTATTCGTTCAGTCAAATATCTTTCTAGCGAAAATCTTTAAATTTTGTTAGTAACGACATGTATTGATTATTCTGAATTCTATCAACAGTAAAGAAAGGAAGAAACAGTACGTCAGGCGTGAACGATACGGGGTACTCAGACTGGTCATTGAAGGTAAAATTGAGGGTAGGACATCAGTGGGGAGAAGGCAAAACTCCTGGCATAAGGGCCTACGTAGTTGGTTCAAAAGAATATCTATTGAAATATTTAGAGGTGCAGTTTCACGCACCATCATCATAGCCAGTTGGATCGTCTAGCTCCGAAGGGAGACGGCGACCTAAGAGAAGAAGATACCTACCTATAAAAAGTAAATTAATTTTGTGTGGCGACCTAAATATTGACTTTTTCAGTGTCTGTGCAACCAAGGAGTCTCTCCAGTCCATTTTTCATTCTTTTGGTATACTCATGCATGTTGACTCACCAACTAGAATAACTAAAACTGGCTCTAGCACTATAGACTATTTCGTGTCGTCTTTTGACCCGGAATTCGTTGACTGTAGAGTTGTTGTACCCTCACTTAGGTTTCTCTGATCATGAGGCAGTATTGACAACGTGTTTGCCACAATCCAAATGCAAAACGCCCTAGCGCAAATTGGGCCGTATTTTTTCGGATAAAAATTTTCTAAATTTTTACCACCTATGTCTAACAACTGAGTGGGTTGTCCTCTCGGCTGACGTCTATTCCGAATTTTCTAGATTTATAAATACCTTGTCTAATCTGGCGTGCAAGGCGTTTCCTCTTAGGCCTATAAAAATTAAGCAAGGTATACCTTGGTCTACGATACAGGCTTGAGTATATCTGCAAAGAACATGCGCTCATATCTCACCTTAAAAAATTCAGCCACAGCGTTTTCTTTCATAATTACGTAAAACTTTATAGAAGGGTTTATCGTAAGACTATAAAAGCTGCCAAGGACATTTATTATAATGGGAGGCTAGCCAAATCCGGTAATGTTGCTAAGGAGACTTGGGCTATTGTAAATGACTTAAGGAATAAGACTTCTTCGTCTGGCACAGTCTTTAATTCACCTGAAGATATAAACACATACTTTGTTAATGTGGCTAAAAATTTAGTGAATACCATAACTCCTTCCCATGCTTCACTTTCATATCTCCCTAACGCAAATGAGAATTTACACAGTTTCTTCTTCACGCCCGTAGCATTAGATGAACTCCGTAGTACAATTAAAATTATTAAAAATAAATCCTCATCTGGGACTGATGGGCTTACTCTCAAAATGTTCTCTGAACTTCCGGAATGCACCTTAATCTATCTTACTACTTTAATTAACGAGTCATTCCAAAAAGGAGTTTTTGCAAACTGCCTTAAAAGAGCAATAATTATTCGTCTGCATAAAGAAGGAGATAAAGATCAAGCTTCGAACTATCGCCCATTTGATCTCCTGCCCACATTATCTAAGATCATTGAAAGATTGGTTAAAAAAAGGCTTCTATCTTTTCTCCTTAAATATAAAGTACTTTCTACCCATCAATTTGGATTTCTAAGTAACAGTTGCACAAATGATGCTATGTTCGACCTTTTTAATAATGTATACTCTAGCCTGAATAACCATCACTCTACAGCTACAATTTTCTGTGATTTCTCTAAGGCTTTCGACTGTGTAAATAATAATATCTTAATTAACAAATTGCAATACTATGGATTCAGGGGAGTGCCGCGCGAATTGGCTCTAAGTCATATCTTGGCAACAGATTGTGAGGATTGATACGTCTATGTCTTCTTGTAAGCCTATAGAATGTGGTGTCCCTCAGGGTTCAGTACTTGGCCCTATTTTGTTTCTGGTGTTTATTAACGACATTGCAAATTTAGACATTAGCGGTAAAATCTACCTCTTTGCGGACGATACTAGTTTCACTTGGAGCGGCCCAGATGTTACGGCACTATATAATACTATATCCAGTGACTTACGCACCATTAAATCTTGGTGCGATTCTAATCTCCTATGCCTCAACCTTTCAAAAACTAAAGTTTTGTCATATAAAAGTACTATACCACCTTTTGTACTTAATAACATCGCTATTGACGTCGTGGGACTTGTTGTAGACAAGTCGTTAAAATGGGACTTGCACATCAAAGCTTTATCAAAGAAACTAAGCGCTGCTTATTTTGCGCTAAGATCAGTTTCTAAGGAACTTAACTCATCAACATCTAGAATGGTCTATTATGCCCTTTTTGAGTCGCATCTTCGTTATGCCCTACCATTCTGGGGTACTTGGTGCGCGACAAAATTTGATCGTATTTTCAAACTTCAAAAGAGCAGTTCGACACTTATTGGGACTGAAGAGTAGAACTCACCCCCAGAATTTTTTTAAAAATTTCAAAATACTGACTCTTCCTTCCTTATTCATTTTTGAATCCGTTTGCCTAATCCGCAAGCACATATCTGCTATTCCGGAAAGGCCTTCTCACAACTATCCACTTCGGAATGCGGAGCACGATATTGATCTGCCAACCCCGAGCTCAGAACTAGTTAAGGGCTCAATACTGTACAATGCCAAGAAAATGTACAATCATTTGCCTTTGAATATAAAGTCACTCTCATTCTTTTACGATGTTTCAAAAACATGTTCCTTATAAAAAATATTCTAAAAAATATTGTTATTTTATTATAAAAAATAAAATAACAATATTTCATAACCAAAATTTCATAACCGATAATGAAGGACTAAAGGTATAACCGATAATGAAGGTCGCAGACTTGTCTATATCCGTTTCTATGTACACGCTGGTTTATGCTGACAGTAGTGAAGATTCAATTTTGACAAACATTGCAGATTGATACATGGTTGCCAAATCAGCTAGTAAATTACCCGAAATTTAAGCCTCGTTTTCATGCATCCCTTTTTAGATGGACTCGAAAAGTAATGATTTGGCGGTCTGTGGCCCTTACGTTAAGTTAATGTATTGCTATAGCTTTAGCAATCAAAACACGCGTGTTTAGTGCGTGAAATTAGTGCTTTGATTTGGTTTTGTTTTGATTTGGTTTGGTTTTGCTTTGGTTTGGTTTGTATTGCTTTTGTTTCAGTCTTTGTTTTTTTTTTGTTTTTTTGTTTGATTAATGCGCGTCACAGACATTCAGTGGAAACGTCAAATATGTGTTAAATAGTTCCAAAATTAAATTAAAATATTTTGAAATTCCGTGCATATTCCGCATTTTTTCTTGTCTAAAATAATTAATTTTTTTTTGTGGAGGAAAAAAATCTGCAAACCACCATAAGTGGTACTGTCGGGATGGTTGAGGTACCATACCGACTAAAAAAACCTCCGCAAACCGCTTTGAGTATCTCCCCGAGGAACTACCTTTCGGTATTAGGGGGGGGGTACATTAAACGCATTTTTACTTTCCAAACCTTTTGGCGGCTTCGTTTTCTTTTGCAAATATCAGCACGTCCATATATTCACGGACTGCTTTCCAGTTCTCATTTGACTTAAGCATTGGTGGATCCAAGTTGATGTAAGTTAGTTCCTCTGTTACTACTCTCTATTAATTTTTTTTTGTTCATAGGTCCATTTTTGCACTCTAGGATTGTGTGCTGTATCGTTATCGTGGTCACCGTAGAAAAAGTACCGTAGTAAAAATCACCGTAGTAAAATCTTAATCGTAGGTGCATTTTGGACTATCGGTAAGTTTCATTTTATATAAATAATTCCCGTAGCATCCATGTCCTGATCATAGCATAGCTAACTTCATACTTAGCTGTGTCATAGCGTAGCTAACTTCTCCATGGTTCCGATTTATCCACTTTTTTATATGTGGTATAAGTTGTCTTGTCTAATGTGCTTTCCCGTCTATGTTGTGTTTCCCTCTGTTACTCCATGCGTTCAAAATTATTTCTCTGTTATTCTCTCGCGATCTATCCAGATACGCCTTTCTCTGCATTCTCTCTTGTATTAGAAGGTCTATTGCTATCATGGAAGTAATTAGTTCTGCAGCGTTAGGGATCGGCAAGACAAGAAATCTTGTCTTGACAAGCACTTTCTTGTCTTGTCTTGAAACATTTTCAAGAATTAAAAAAAATCTTGTCTTGACCATTTCTTGAGAGTTGATTTCTTGTCTTGATTCAAGAAATCTTGAAATTTCTTGATATCTTGAGAAAAGGGGAACCCCCGTTTAAAATTCGTTTATTAAAGGGGAACCCCCTGTTTAAAAGTCGCAGTGAGATTGGTTAATGTGATGTTTATGCTTTATGCGTAAAATCGAGGGTCAGGCATCTAATTTTCAAAAAATTCAAAAACTTTGGCCCATTATACTACAGTAGCCAAAATCATCAGATTTAAATAATTTTGTTAATTATTATTATTATTATCTAACATTAAAATGAGCGACTGTGATGGTTCGTTGAGCAGCAAATCTGAGCCATTCGTAATTGAATCTGGTTCAGAATACCTACCACCTCAGACACCTGGACGAAGAAGTTTAATTAGTGACTTTGACAGTAGTGACGGTGATAATGCTACTACAGATAAAAACAGTCAAAACAACAATGATAAAAGCTACTCTACTTCAGTGGCGTACATTAAAATGTATTATTTTTTTATTTTAAAAGTTTTACATTAATACAAAAAATCTGTATGCCACTGAAGTAGACCCGCTTTGCAAAGTTTTTTTTTATTCCTAGGCCATTACATATCCAAAAAATTATAAAAAAAACATTTAAAATTTAAAAATGTATTTGACATTAAAAAGATTCCAATTTAATTTGGCCCACAGTATGCCAACTTTGGACATCCGATTTTGGACGTACTTGTGTCAACTTTGGACATTGGACATCCGGCAAAGTGCCGCTTCGTACAAATGTTTTTAGCTTAATAATTTTTTTATCCATCAATTTAATGGATATTCATATAATATACAAATACCTAAGTGAGTATTTCTTTTTTAATTTATATTTTCAAGAAATTTCAAGATTTTCTTGATTTCTTGTCAAAAAATCTTGATTTTGAGAAGTAATTTCTTGTCTGGTCTTGAAAATCAAAAATCATTTCTTGTCTTGATCTTGTCTTGAAATCAAGACAAGATCAAGAAGTTGTCAAGAAAATGACGACCCCTATGCAGCATCTCCTGATATAATGTGGTACCCTTGACATATTCGCAGCGCCAATCTCCTTTGAACTATTCTTAATCTTTCCCGTTCTTCGTCACTTCAACGGATTCTCCCCAAACTTCTACAGCATATAGTATATAGCAATATGGTAGACGTCTGAACGGCGGTCAACATTTTGCGCTTGGTTTCTCCCATAATGGATCAGTTCGACATAAGCTTTGATAGCAGCATATATTGCCTCTTTACTTTTACTGCTACCATGCGTATGCGCTTAGCGGGAAGTGCGGGATCATTATGAGCACTTCTTATCTACCACCTTATCTACCACTTCTTATATCTTGATCCATGTGATATTCTCACTTTTGGGAAATAATCGCATCGCTTTTTGCAACTGCGTCTTTTTATCAATCGCACGTCTGACCTTTATTTTCTTGGTTATGATCTTGTATGCCTGTCCCTAAATGTCCTCTTCCAAATTGTCTAGCATGTCTCTTCATAACTGCTCTTGTAGCATTTACCAATTTTGGTCAAAATATGTGTGTTCATTTTACAATAAACGATGTTATTAGTTTGTCCTATTTCATTCAAACTTTTGTGATTTTAGGCTTCTGATTAAACCTGTCTGATATAGATAGAAGATACAGAAAATATATTTTCCATAGTAAAAATTATTACTAATAATAATTCCCTATTATTAAATACTAAACTACAAATGGAACTATAAAGAAGAATAAGAAATAATATTGATTAATAACTTTTATAACTTTACCTTGATTTACGAAACATGTTGATATAAACATCTAGGGAAAACCGATAAAAACATATAGGAATACCCAACAAGTTATTCTAAAAATGTATTTATTAGTAAGTATATTTCTATAAAATAATTATTATGTATGTGCATGAATAATCAAATGAATATCTCTAAAACTGCCATTTAAGAAATACGTAGGTACATTAGAAAAATACATTTAAAATAAGAACATAGCTTCATGTAATTTTGTTCATTATTATCGCAAATACTTCATTCATTTAGTGTTAAGTCTGTAAAACTTGAAATTACTATAAAAATAAATGCCACAATTATTTATCAAATAGAAACCTTGGAAAAACCAGAATAAACATTTAACAAACGAGTTATTAGTCATAGACTTCGTAGTCAACTGATCCAACTGTATGTTTTTAGAAATATTTAAAGCAAAACAATCATCATCGTAAAAATTACAAGCACATTTTTTATTTATAAAATATTAGTGTTATACTTTTAAAAAATATTATTATTGTATATTTGGGGTATTTTCTAGAACAAATCTGGTAAGTAGTGACATTTATTTCCTGACAGCACATAAATAATGAAAACATAATGTCTAAATCTTAAAACTCATTGGAATTAAATCAAATTTTAAAAATGGTTTTTAGTTTGTTCGCGCTGGTTCAACGTTCATGACCAATATAATTAATATGCGATTTATTGTGACAATTTTCACCTACATTCTTCTCCTGCGAAAATTTAATTATGTCGGTGAGTACAATTAACATATTATTTATCAGGATTAAAGTTGATAGGAGTAATTTTTTTTGTATTTTAATTTTCGTTTGGTTTTGTTTAATCTTTAACCTTCTTTGAATTTTGTTATTGAAACACGGAGTAAACAAAACGGTGTAGAAATTTGTTAGGGTTAATAGTGCCAATAAGAAGTAGTGTGTATTGATACCAATTTTTTAGAAAATAATATTTTTATAAAATTGATAAGTAACATTATAATATAAAATTAAATATACCGCATGATAGAAAAAAACGCCGTCCAATGACGATTAATGATATGCCTGGAAATTACGATCAATGATATGATGTATATTATTTTAGTTTTTAGTAAAGAAACCTTTGACGGTTATACCTACAGCATTGGTTGTGGCATTGGTATCTCGGTAACCGTAATAGATAGAACGTACATACGTACGAATATGGTTAAATTGGGGCAAAGTTGCGCTTTGGGATGTTCCCCAAAATGTCAAGGATTGCTGAGTTTTTTGGAAAAAACTGATTTTTTTGAAAATCAATTTTATTTTTTCCTGTCGTTACTTTTTAGAAAATCAAAAAACTAGTTGCACGTTCTATAGCCACTTTATTAGGGCTATCTGATAGTATTTTTGGATTTTCAAATTAGCTTATAATTTTTGAGATACAGAGGCGAAATTACTTTTTTTAAATACGGACCTGCATTTTTTATTTCAGATTTTGAAAGAACTCGGTCTCGTGAGTACAATGATATGCCACACTTATTTTTTTTTGTTTTGGAATTTGAACACAATTTATTTAAACTAATTTCAAGTCCGGCTCTGTTTTTCTTAATATTTAATCTATTCATGCAGAACATTAGAAACTAGTTTGTAGTTTAATTACTGATTAATTTTGTAATTAGTTTTTTGATTTTCTAAAAACTAACGACAGGAAATAATAAAATTGATTTTCAACAAAATCAGTTTTTTCCAAAAAACTCAGCAAATCTTTAAAATTTTTAAAACTTATTTGATGGCATTTTGATGAACATTCCAATACGGGGGGCAACTTTGCCCCAATTTAACTATGTTCGTATCTATTACGGTTACCGAGATACCAATGCTCGTACCTCGAATTTGTAGCACCCTGTATAGGTATAAGAAACGCAACAATCAGAGTAAAAAAATGAAAAGCATATTCTGCGAAAACTACTGATTTGGACATCCGTAAAATCCAATTTATAATATATGTAAATTACTTATTTATTCGTGTATATCTTTCGACCACAAACTACGATATATCCGGGTGCGTCTCAAAGGTAGCTCACCCTTACTTATTATCATTACTTTTTTATTTTTTCAGATAAAATAACGAGACTTGGTTCGTTAGTATATGACACAAATCTGGATTGATTGACGTATTCAATTGTTTTTGGTCACTTCCTGTTTTAGCGGAAATGACTACAACTTTTGATTTTTAAATGGTACCCTTGATATTTTTTACTTTATTCGATAGAAAATGACATTCTTAATAGAATGACGTATCATATGTCAACTTCTGACATTCTCACTTAATAAAAAGTTGTATAATTTGATAATCTCAATCTAGAATGTTCATTGTAGGCTATGTTAAAAACACCAATTTTTAATCAAGGAGTCTTGGAAAAATAGATTGTATCGTCTAAAGTTTTTAGTTTTTGTCCTGGCCAATTAGAAAATGCTCAAATCGTATTGTGAATCATATCTCAATTTTTTTCAGATGGAATGAGGGTGTCTCATTAGCATATTTGAAAATGCATTTTTTAGGAATAATTTGATATCGCACACTTGGTATTTTGAGTCAAATTTTCGTTACAAACCGCAAGTTATAATTTCAAATAAACCATATGTGAAAATGTCAAAAATTCATTCTATTCAGAGTGTTTGGTTAGGTGTTCTTTTCTATCGAACAAATTAAAAAAAAATACCGATGGTGCCATTTAAAAATCAAAAGTTGTAGTAATTTCCGGTGAAACAGGAAGTGACCGAAAACAACTAAATACGTCAATCAATCCTAATTTATCATATACTAACATACCATCTCATTTTTTTAACTGAAAAAATAAAAAAGTTATAGGGGTGAGCCACTTTTGAGGCGAACCCGGTATAAAATAATTTATGAACAAATAATTTAACTATACAGGGTGGTCCGAACTGTATTCCAGAAACTTCGGCAGCATATTCTGCAGATAAAAAGAAGTTAAAAACTTCTTATAAATGTATGTCCTAAAATGTTTAGTTTCGGAGATACAGGGTGTAGAAGTTTCATTTTTATTTCGATTTTTTCCAAATAATTCCTGAAGTAACGTCAACATTTGGATGAAAATTGGTATCGTTTTTTGACATGAGAAATTTGATTTTGAAGTCATTATGATTCCTATTTGTAGGGGGCGCCACCTACATGTGTTTTAACTGTTTTAAACAGTAATAACTTTTTGTCCGTACCTGTAGAGAACTACTGAGTGAAAAAATATATATTTTCGTAATTTTTTACGTAAAACACAGCTTTTGGTAAAAATAGTTATGAGCAACCCTTCTCGAGATATTTAAAATGGAAGTAGTCAATACATGTCATTATTGACAAAAAATAAATATGTTGAGTATTAGATAGTTATTTGACTGGTAGGGTGCCCGGTGGCGTAGAGGTACAGGCTCTCGTCTACCAATCTCAAGGTAGGGGATATTACGAAGGAAGGGATATTACGAAGGTTTTTTAAGAGTTTTTTCCTCCGATTCTACGGATCTGATTTAAGTAACCAACATATTTATTAAAGTAAAGCACGTCAGCATTGCCTCTATACTCCCAATGCATGTGTGAGCAAAAGCGGAACATGCAGTCCTCGCCCGGTCAATAAAAGAGCTACATAGGGCAAACATCGGCCCCCCTGTTCACAGGGTTCGCTTAGGTGGTTGAGTGCTTCGTCAGAATAACAACATACCATCTTATCATGTTATTTTATTTATTGTATATATTGTATATAGCACCTTTTTATTGTATTTAAGGAGACATTCTCAATAAATGCTTTGAAACATGAAAACTTGAATCTCAAGGTAGTGGGTTCGATTCCCACACCCGGCATTGCATTAGCCGACTATTTTTATTAAAATAAAAATAGTTTGGGTACCTAGGTCGACTCAGCCTTAAATGAGTACTTGGGATTCACAATCCTAAGGTAATAATAGGCTGTTGAAGCGTAGTGCTAGCCACATTACCTTCCTTGTATACCGAACGGCTCTAGTATGGCAAGCTGTACCTTGCTACTGCCAAGGCGTTAAACGCTATATACGGGAGCTATTATTATTATTTGCCTGGTATGATAAATTTGGGAAATTTTTATTTTTTTAAATTAATTATAAAATTTTCATCGAAAAAAATGATAATTGATGATTTGGCACAAAAACATTTAAAATTTACAATTTAAGTCTATTAACTATTTCAATATGTTTAATTTATGTTAATAATGACAGGTATTGATAATTTTGATTTCAAATATCTCGAGAACTATTACTCGTAGCGATTTTTATTAAGAGACTTTTTTTACGTTAAAAACGTCGTAAATGTATAATTTTTTACTTAGTAGTTTTATACAGGTACGGATGAAAAGTTATTACTCTTCAAACCAGTAAAAAATATGTAGGTGGCGCCCTCTACAAGTAGAGTCATATTGACATCAAAATCAAATTTCTTATATCAAAAACTCCCAGACGCCAAATTTCATTCAAATATTGACGTAACTTCAGAAATTATGGGAAAAAATCGAAATAAAAAAAAAACCCTGTAAAGGGTGTAGAAGTTTCATTTTCATTAAGGTATAAGAACTTTTTTACTAATTTTTATCTGCAGAATATTCTGGCGAAGTTTCCGGAATACAGTTCGGACCACCGTGTATAGTATGTTCATTTTCAGGAAGTGTATCATAATATAGAATTTATGTGAGGAGAATTAAAGCTTCATTCAGAACCTCGCAATTAGTGGTTTCAATCAACGAAAAAGTATGTTCCTCTAATTTGAATGAAAGCATTCACAACGTCACAATAATTAGTGGTAGAAATTTTCAATTAGTGGAAAAAGTTACCAAATTTTTAACTTTACCACTAATAACACTTCAAAATTTGCTAGAAATGTCATTTTGGCCATTGATTATTATCATACGTCAAGAGAAAATATGGTTGGAAATCAAAAGTTTATTGTTTTATATGCTAAATATTAAGAACTCTCTATGAATACAACTGATTAGCGCAAGCTGTTGCTAGTTGCTAGGATATTCTATCAATTTTAATTGTATTTTTTAGACGTTGTGAATGATTGTAAACTAAAAAGTATAAAGTGTAATTGAAACCACTAATTTATTCCACTAACTGCGAGGTTCTGAATGAAGCTTAAAAACAAAAAAATCATCATAAATTATATTAATTTGAAAAATAAGTAATTAAATTTTACAGGAAAATATTACAAGAATATTAATAGCTTAATAAATTATTACCTACGGTCAGTATATACAGGGTGGCGCACCTCATTTGCCTCGGTTGTATACGAAAACGGAAAGATGTAGAAACAAAATATTTTATGGGTATACGTAGGAAGGCAATGTGCATAATTTAAAATTATTTTGAAATGTACAGGGTGTGTCAGAACTAAGATCCATACCAAAGTTATATTTTTTCTTATGGAACACCCTGTATTTTATTTGATTTTTGGATTCTTGGGCATAAAATAAGGCATTTATTATAAGGCTTTAATATGTTTAAATGCTTTGGTTTTTGAGATATTTAAAGATATTTAAATATGCATGTTATATTAAAAACATTTGTCAACACCCTGTAAATTGCTTGTCAGAGTAATCTCAGTCATAGTGCTGACTTTGAAGCCAGTGAAATAAACTTTACTAAAAAAATGTATTGCTTTCTTAAATGTATACAGGGGTATCAAAAATTGATGGTCTATTTTAAATATTTAGTTTACATAAAAACTTCGTTATTTTA